AAAATTAATTCTAAGCAATCATACATTAGTTATGTATTATTGATCTGAGTCCCAGTTTGCTTAGAGAAATTGACAAATTGGAAAAATAATGACTAGTAAAAATTAGAAAAAGAGAAAATAGAATAGAAATTTAATAATATCTGTTATTGGCAGTTAATGATCAGCTGTATCTCTGAACCTTTCTCTGAGTTGTGAAAAATGACTTGTGGTTTGTGGAGAGCTGGTGATACTACCATGAAGGAGCATTAGTCATAGAAAAATAAGGGGATCAAAATTGATTATTCTGCTTTCTGTTATTTCAGTTTTAATTTAAATCTCACATTTTAAATAAATAATACAGTGATTCATTGTGTGGACTTTTTTTCTGGTCTTGATGTTATTCAGATCTGCTATTATACCTTAAACTTAGCAATTTTTTAATAGTTCTGACTTTCCGGAACTAGAGCCCTGTTCACCCTTCTCCCCGCTGTCCAATTAGTTCAGCGCTTATTTATGCTGTGCTCCTACTTGAGTAAATACCATATGATGCCTTTTGCTGAGTATTTGTTTGATTTGTCAAAAGCTGTTGATGTCTCGGAGCTCAGCTGTGAGGCCTGCGCAGGAATTGCTAGACGGTCTTCCAGTGTCTCAGTGACACTGACCCAGACACCTCAGAGCTCTTCCCAGCTTTTCAAATCTGTAAGCCAATGTGATGGAAAGTCCTTTTGTTCACTAGATGGTTCTCTGAGTCCAGGCAATGTCTTGTGTGTTTGTTTCCACAGAGCATATCTCATTACAGACTATATGGGCATCCGCAATGAAAGTTTCATGAAATTAGCTGCAGTAGGGACCTGGATGGGGGACTTTGTGACAGCTTGGATGGTAAGAACATTTTAACTTCTCCCATTTTGAACAAATATCCTATGGAAGACGTATTCATAAATGTTGGAAAGACACTGCTTTGATGTTTAGAAGTACAATAATGACTTCTGAGTGCATTACATTATGACTATAGATTATCTTGGAGATTACATTTTGTATTTTAATAGTACCTCTTAGCAAATAAAATTTAATTCTAAATCACTCTTCAAAATAATATTGTGCGTGAAGTTCCATTAGGGTCCAGTTTGGCATCCACACTAATGTGTCTGAAGGTGAACAGTGGGCCTCTGAAAGATTTCAGCATCAGTGCTCACGGCGAGTAGATAGCCCTCTGCTAGTGTGTGTGTGTGTGTGTGTGTGTGTGTGTGTGTGTATGTTTCAAAGCACACACATACATATGCACATTCCCAAAGTGAACAGAAACTTATTTCCCATGAAATTATAAATAATCTTATGAAGATTTTGGACATGTATAACTTTCAGGTAAGAACGTGAGCTGTCTCAGAAGACCATGTGAAACACTCTCTAAAAGTAGGTCTCTATATTTGCTTTCTTCATTGAACCTATGAACTCAACAGAAGCTACATGTTGTGAGGACTTTGTGTTTGTCATTTTTTTTTCTAGCATCCTTCTCTTTTATTATTAAAAGCCTGCAATAAAGGGCTGAGCTTATCTGTTAAGAGAGTAACTTCTGGGCTGGAGAGATGGCTCAGTGGTCTAAAGCACCT